TCCCCAGTCCTTGCCCCACCCCCATCCTCACCTCCATCTCAGTTGTCCCAAAGTGTTTAAAGTACATCATCCCCACCTCCAACACCTGCCACATCCCCATCTGCTGTCCCATCTCCATCTCCCATCTCCATCCCCATCCGCTGTCCTATCTCCATCTCTATCTCCCATCTCCATCTCCCTGCATCTGCATCTCCACCCCCATCCCCATCCCCATCTGCATCTCCATCCCCATCTGCTGTCTCATCCCCATCTGCATCTCCATCCCCATCTGCTGTCCCATTCCCATCTCCATCTCCATCTCCATCTCCATCTCCATCTCCATCTCCATCTCCATCTCCATCCCACCCCACCCCATCCCCAGCAGGGTTGGGGGAGCTCAGCCCGAGTCAGGGCCCAGCTGGGGGTGTCCCAGCAGGGATGGGACGTTACTGTTCTGTCTGCTCCCAGGGGGTGGCCACCAGCACCCACGGCTCTCAGAGCCTTGGAGGGGGGGGTGAGGAAGAGGAGGGAAGGCTGGAGGTGGCCAGGTTGTCCCTGTCACCCCACCACAGCAGGGCTGGTGACCCCAACTAAGCTGCTGGTGACCCCAGCTGAGCTCCAACCACCACCACTGTGCCTTTGGCAACCCCCCTCCAGGCACACAGCCCACCCGGGGTGCCAGTCCCAACCGGGACACCCCAGGACAGTCACCCCCCATGTCCCCAGCTGCCAGCCCCCCAGTGTGGCAGGACCCCCTGTGCCCGTGCTGGCCACCCTGGGAGGAGCTGAGCCAGGAGATCCTTGGCACAGCCACCATGGCCATGCCCTGTGTCCCAGGGGGACATGGTGGCCATCTCAGCCATGCCCTGTGCCCCATGAGGACATTGTGACCATGCCAGCCTCCCCCTGTGCCCTATGGGGACACTGCGGCCATGCCCTGTGCCCCATGGGGACATTGTGGCTGTGCCAGCCATGCCCTGTGCCCTGTGGGGACATCATGGCCATCCTGTGTGCCCCATGAGCATGAGGACACCATGGCCATCCCAGCCATGTCCTGTGCCCCATGGGATGCCCTGGCCATGCCCTGTGCCCTATGGGGACATTGTGGCCATGCCCTTTGCCCCATAGGGACCTTGTGGCCCTGCCAGCCATTGCCTGTGCCCTGTGCCCCATGGGGACATCATGGCCATGCCAGCCGTGTCCTGTGGCCCATGAGGACATCGTGGTCATCCCATGTGCCCCACGGGGGGCAGCTGTGCCCCATAGGGACATTGTGGCTGTGCCCCATGGGGACACTGTGGCCCTGCCAGCCGTGCCCTGCGGGACCCCCCGGCGGTGCCAGCCTCCCCGTGTCCCCGTGCGGTGACAGCGTGACGGTGCCGGGCAGCGCGGGGCTATAAATAGCTTTTTTTCGGTGGCACGAGGGGACCCGTTGCCAGGGAGACCCGCTGCCAGCGGGAACGGCGCGGAGAAGGGGGCGATGGGGGGGGGAGGAACACACACGTCGATGGGGACAGGACCCCTGGGGTGTCCACCGAACCCCCCTGCCCCATGGCACCCCCCCCGAGCGCCGCAGCCCCCCTGGTTCTGGCTGCATCACGTGGGATTCCCTGGGAAATGGCTCATCCCGTAGGACCCCCGGCCTCTGGTGGGGGGGAGGAGGAGAAGAGGGAATGGAGCCCCCCACCCTGTGCTGATCCCCCCTTTGTGCAGCTGGAGCGGAGGGGGGGGGAGGGGGGTGTTTTGCTGGGG